GATGCGCTCCGCCGGCCCCGTCTGGTACCAGTACATGACCGACTCCATCTCGTTGCGATTGGCGCCAAATTCGAAGGAAAACTCGCTCTTGAACTTGATCTGGAAGTCGCTGACGAAGAAGCGGTAGGCGCTGAAGGCCTCGTTGTTGCCGTACATGAAGCCCCACTCGGGGAAGTTGTGGTGGCGCGAGAACCAGCACGAGGTGCCGAAGAAGTCCTCGCCGCCGGTGCCCTTCATCACGCGTGGCCGCGTGGTGTGGTCCACGATGATCATCTCCGCGCCGTTGTGGAACCAGTAGTCATTCTCGTCCTTGCGCGTGAGGCCCATCGTGAAGCCCAGCAGGTAGCCCGACCCCGTCGAGTGGCCCACGTGGTAGGAGCGCTGGTAGAAATGGCCCTCGCCCACGGGCACGCGGTCGTGTGCAAGGTCCTGCCGGCGGTAGAGGGCGCGCAGGCGCAGGGGCTCCGGCATGGGGCACGCCGGGTCGTACTGGTGGTAACTCACCTGGGTCCACACGCGCATCTTCACCGCCGGGTCCGGGTTCTCGTCCTGCAGGGTGATCCGGCACCCGTTGGCGAAGGGCATCGGCGCCACCAGGGACATCGCCCCATTCTCCGACACCTTGAACATGGAGTTGTCTGCGCCGTAGCCGTCCTCCAGGTTTCCCCAACTGTCCCCGAGGTCGTGGTGGATGCCAAACAGGGAGCCCAGCGGGGCCTCGATGCTGGGCGTGGCGCTGCCGTCGAAGTAGATCCGCACTATCATCATCAGGGAGTCCCGGGTCATCACGCAGCGTTGCGGGCGAACCTTGAGCGCGCCCATGCCCGTCACGATCCAGAAGATGCGAACGCAGCACGGCCCGCCGATGTCCGCCACCACCGTCTCCGAGGTATGGGACACGCACGATCGAAAGGAGATCTTGCCGGGGGCGTAGTCGGAGGGCAGGTTCAGCATTCCGTGAAAGTCTCGGGCCAGCCCAGTCCTGGCGCACTCATCCCCACCGTTGGGGGCGGTGGTGGCGGGACTTTGCCCCTCTACCGGGGCCGTACTGGAGCACTCGTTCAACGCCACGTAGTGCCCGGCTGTCCAGGTGTTTGGTGCGGTGAAGTAGAAGTACCCAAGAGCAGATACCACTGCCGCGGTGCAGAGAACCAGCACCGCAACGTGGCGAGAAGACTGCGCCATAAGATTTGTGGGCTCCTCACTCTCCCTCACACCGAACACTGCCCGCCACCTTGCCTTTTTAGTCCTTCTCCTTGCCTTTTCCCTCCCTCGTTGCATGCCAACAGCGCTTATGGCAGGCTTAAATCTATTCGAGCGCGAAGAATTCCGAACGCGTCTGTGCCCAACCGAACGTCGACTTAGATTAACTGTCTTTCTGGGATGGCCACTACAGGGTCCAACTCTATCCCTCATTCGAGCACGCTTGTCCCTACATGTTCGTCTACAGTACGTCCACCTCCCCTCATAAGGGTACTATTCATCGGTTTTAGATCGGCTCTTAGGCTTTCAACAGCCGTCACATCACCTCCACCTTTTTATTTGAGCGTTTTCATGTTTTTTTCCCACAGATTTTGATCCACTCGCACTCTCCTTCGCCCACTCTTAGGCCGCGCACACACATACCACTTCGTGCACTCACCCCACTATGCACAAGCAATGCACTCACCGCTGTGGTTGTTTTCATGTGGTTGTGGCCGTTTGCAGAATTCAAACCATCACACTTCCAAGATGGAAACTACGTACGCAAACCAAGCGACCAAGATCGGTCTGGTCATCGCGCTCTACTGGGCGGTGTCCATCTCGATGGTCTTCCTCAACAAGTACCTCCTCTCGTCCCCCAACCTGAGGCTCGACGCGCCGCTCTTCATCACCTGGTTCCAGTGTCTGGTGGCCATCGTGGCCTGCTGGGCGCTGCCCTCTTCCGCCCGTCCATCCGTTCTTCGACATGTTCCCACGCTTCGAGGTCAAGGTCGACGTCGCCCTCAAGTGCCTGCCGCTGTCGGTCGTGTTCGTGGGCATGATCGTCTTCAACAACCTCTGCCTAAAGGAGGTCGGCGTGTCCTTCTACAACGTCGGCCGGTACTGCTCTCTTCTCCTGTCCGGTAGTAGCAGAAATATCTGCTCCTACGCTCCTCCGCTGCCGCATGATCACCTTAAACATGTTTTTTTTTACAAAAACTACATCAGATCGCTTACCACGGTCTGGAACGTTATGTTCACATACCTCATGCTGGGGCAGAAGACCAGCCCCAGGGTTCGTAGACCGATGGCCGTCCCTGCGCACACGCACACAAGCACTCACCTTGAGTGGATCTATGGTGTGGGTGGCAGGCGCTGCTGTGCTGTCTGTTCCTGGTGGTGGGCTTCATCCTGGGTGTGGACCAGGAGGGCGAGACCGGTGAACTGTCCGTCCGAGGTTAGTCAGGGAGCGCCCCTTGAGACACACCTCCCTCCCTCATTCGTGGTGGCTTACAGCTGATTAACTGCTTCTACTTCAAAAGGTGTGAGCTACGGAGTACTCGCTTCGCTCTTCGTGGCCCTCAACGCCATCTACGTGAAGAAGGTCCTGCCCGTCGTCCATGACGATTCGTGGAAGTAAGTGGAGTGTGTACCGCACTTGCACTTGGAAGGACTTGTTTCCTCACCTCCATCTGTGTGTAGGCTTACTCTGTACAACAACTTGAACGCGTTCCTCCTCTTCATTCCGCTCATGATCATGGCCAGAGAACATGAGATGGTACACCCTCCAGCGTCTCCTTGTCTTTCTCTCTCTCTCTCCCCCTCTCTCTTTGCTTGTCATCCTCTCTCCTTTCTGGTCTTATGCCCAAGGAGA